GTCACCGCCCTGACACCACCCTGACACCGCCCTGACACTGCCCTGTCACCTCTGACACCGCCCTGTCACCGCCCTGACACCGCCCTGACACCGCCCTGACAACACCCTGTCACCTCTGTCACTGCCCTGTCACTGCCCTGACACCGCCCTGTCACCGCCCTGTCACCTCTGACACCGCCCTGTCACCTCTGTCACTGCCCTGTCACCACCCTGTCACTGCCCTGACAACGCCCTGTGACCTCTGTCGCCTCTGACACCGCCCTGCCACTGCCCTGTCACCGCCCTGTCACTGCCCTGTCACCTCTGACACCGCCCTGTCACCTCTGACACCTCTGCCACCTCTGACACCGCCCTGTCACTGCCCTGTCACCTCTGACACCTCTGTCACCGCCCTGTCACCACCCTGTCACCTCTGTCACCGCCCCCTGGTCTCCAGCCCCGCTGCCCCGGTCACCTGGTGTGGGTGACGATGTCAGTCAGGGCACCGCCCTCCAGGAACTCCATGACCACCCAGAGCTCGTCACCCACCAGGTAACTGTTGTACATCTCCACCACGTTCTCATGCTGGTGGTCCCGCATGATCACCACCTGGGGGGGACACATGGGGTGAGACACCAGGACTGTCCCCAAGGCTCTCCAGGGCTTTGGGAGGTCTCTGGTGGGTCACCAAGAGGTCCTTGAGGGCCTCCTGAGGGGATCCAGGGGGTTCCTGAGGGTCCCCAAGGCTCTCCAGGGGTGCCCAGGACTGCCCTCACCTCGTTGAAGAGCAGCTCTCGCCGCTGCTGCTTGCGCAGGTCCATCTTCTTCACGGCCACCAGCTTGCCGGAGCCGCGCACGGTGGCGATGCAGACGACGCCCGTGGAGCCCTCGCCGATCTTGATGAAGTTGTCCAGGTACGTGCGGGGGTCTCCGGGGTCCACCACCATCTGCAGCGCCGCCCGGAACTGCTCGTGGGACACGCGCTGGGGACCCCCGGCCGCGGCGGGCGCGGGGGGGCAGGTGTGCCGGGTTATATAATACTTACATAATTAGGGCTTTGTTAAGCGCTGGTGGCTGGGAGGGGCGTCCTGCCGTCGAAGACTGAGCCCGATTATTTTCCGAGGAGAACAAAGTCTTGTTGCTAATTAGCTGCCCTGCCAGCGGCTGCCGCGGAGAGCCCCGAGTTCCCGGAGGGGCCGCGGCCTGCTCTGTCCCGCTCCCACCCCCTCTGAGGTGGCTTTCCCAGGGCTTTGGGTGGAAGCAACCAGGTGTTGGTGTGTGCCGTCTTTGTGCCTCTCCTGGGTGTTGCAACAGGTAAAGCCTGGAGGAAGGGAATCTGAACTTTTCCCTTACTTTAACCTACAGTGTACTTGAGGGGTTTCACAAGGAATTTCCTGCCTCCAGCCCAGCGCTGTGGTGCTGAAGTGTTTCCACACAATGCCACCTCTGTGAGAGGTGCTTCTGTGCAGACACCACTTCTCCCTTCTTGCATGACATCCACTAACAGCTGCGCCAGTTGCATACAAAGAATATTTTGAAAATATTTCATTTATATTGCACAGCTGAATGCAGGATGAGCCAGAAGACTCTGGCTGTTGCCAGCGTCCGAGTTGATTGCTGTACTACTGGAGTTAGAGAACCACTGTTCTTTGTGAGCCAGGTACAGTTGCACTCTGGCATCACCTATCCACCACTCCAGCTCCCAGCACGCTGGAGAAACATCACATAACCCCACAGAGCATCTGCCAGGCTGGCAGAGCCTTTGTAGTTGGGCTTGCTCTGCAGAGTTGCTCCTCCAGCCTTTGGCACTCCAGTTGTAGTTCAGTGTGTCAGGGACTGAGTTGTAGCTGGAGCTGTGCAATTAGACTTCCTTGTGCCATCCCTCAGTGCTCCTCCCATTCCTGCTTTGACAGCTCAGTACCGGCTGTAGTAGCACTAGCTAGTATTAGCTAGTATCTGAGAGGCTTTTGCCCACAAACTGCATAGAAGTTCCCAGAAGGCCTGCAATAATATTTAACTGCTCTTTGTTCTATGTGCAGGACAAAAGAAAGCTCCCAAAGTAAGAATTAACTGCTCTCTGCTCTGCACGCAACTATCTTCCTCACCATGCATGCACATCCCTGTCCTTAGGATAGGAAATAATGCCCAAAGACTCAGCAAAATTGTCCTGTTTGGTATCCTGAGTTTCCATAGTGAAATTATTTTAGAAATAAACAAGTGTCTGGTTTTCAGTGCTGTGTCTTTCCTGGAGGCACTAGAGTTACACTGCAATGAAACTGGTCTCCCAGGAAGAGGTGTACATAGCTCTAGCTAGCCCTGTTAGCTGGCTAGTAACTGAGCAGGCAAGGAAATCAGCAACCTACACAATAGTTTGTCCACTGTTCTCTTGGATCTTCTTATGCAGCAACCTCAGGTAGGAGACCCTCAGATCTTTTGAATGGGAATTTTCTGTACACCTAAGAGTGCTGACTGTTGCTAGAGCCAAACTGTGGATGCACAGACGCTTGGACTTACTGAGGTGTACCTTGGAGTATGGAGACTGGCTGTAACACTGTTTTTCACTTACCTTAGTGTCAGAAGACTGTTAGTTACACAAATGTTACACCTCAAAACAACCTGCTGCTTCATGACACTTTGCAGCAACCTGATCCATTTTGCAGAGCAAGCTGTGTTGAGAGCAATTCATTACTGAATCAATGATCTAGAGAATATTCTCCAACCTGAATCCTGTGCTGTTGTAACAGAAGTTTGAGAAGGAGGTGATGAGGTGAGTTTGGCTGCAATAGGAGGTGCCTGACTGCGGGACAGATCTTTTGCTGTGTTACACATCATGAGTCACAGCTGTGTGCAATGTTTAGGGACAGCTCTGGCAATCACACCACACAGGGAGCATCTGAAGCAGCGTTACACAGCAGTCACGACTCTCTTTCCTACAGAGTCTTCTAAACTGTAATACTGTGACACGCAAGTTTGGGTCGAGAAACCAAACGCCTCCCCCCTATTTGTATGTGCATCTGGGGGTGGTGCTGCAGCTTATTGAGCAAAGAAAACCTGCAACCTCTGGCCTGCAGCACAAACCAGAACTCTGCTGTAACCAGGTCTGTTGGGTTTTGAGAGTGCAGGCACATTTCACACCTCTAAAGTGCATGAGAAAGGATAGTTGTGCCCCTCTTGGTGTTCAGGGTACCTTGCAGGACAGAGTGCCTAGGTGTGTGCAGGTGTCCATAACCACTGAGAACTGTTCGGGGATTTCTCAGAGCTGTTGCCCACCTGAAGGAGCAGTTTCACTGATGCTACCACCACTTCCCTTGGGAAATCCTCTTTGTATATCTGTGAGGACAGCGTAAAAGATGGAACAAAGCTGGTGTGAACCGCCTGATTCTTGATGCCCACTGTGTGGAACCATGGAATGGATTTACACCCTTGCCAACAACCATACCTGATCCATGGCTGTCTTCTGCTGGGCAGACTTGGGCCTGCATTTTCTGATGTGGCTCATCTTGCTGTGCAGGGCTGTGCTGGCTTGTCACCCCCCAGGCTGGTGGCAATGGGGTGCCAAGCAGGCAATGTGGATAAATGCCCAGGTCTTCCTAGAGTGCACAGCAGCTCCAGCATGATCAGACAGTTGTCAACATGCAAACGTGGCTGATGAATTTTTGTGTTGTGTAAAACACTACTTGTATAACCATGTCAGAGTAGTGTGTTGAGCTCCTGTTACAAAACCATAATTGCATTTCTGTTGTAGATGTAGGTTTGGCAAAATTGGGGCAGGATTATTCCATTGATTACCTGATGGGACCTGTTCAACGAGGCTGTTCCCACACTCCCTCCAACCCAAAGATCAGAGCTGTTCTTATACAAAATAGGTGTTTGTGTGTAGTTATTGTTTCTTAATGTGTTTCTGTCCCAGTGTGGGTCCCATTTACACAGCTTGGAGCTCACTGTATTGGAGAGCAGCCACACGACTGCAGCGGGGAGCCTCACTTTTCATCTGGGTTGGGTTTAGGCTGTGCACATAATCAGGAGTTTAATACAAAGCAGCAGCAAAACAATTCCTGCTGGTAACTGCCAGCTCATGGCACAGGTGTGGTGGGAGCTGTTGCAAGGTTAGACTTGTGATTTTTTCATCGTGTTAGTTAAACTTTGTGAAGTGCTTTATTCGTGGTGGTGGCAAGGATAGGAGCAGCCTTTAGGAAGCTGGCTGTCCCCTGAATCCCACTGCAGTTGAATCAGTGAGATGTTTGGAGCTGTCGCTAGCGTGGAAGAGCTCTCTTGATGCATATGTGTCAGGAATGTGGGCTGAGGCACAGATTGTGTTCCTCACCTCAGAACTTGTATTGGCAGGACAAACACCAGCCTGAGCAGACACGGCTGTGGCGGATGAGGGCTTGTACTCACTGCAGCACCAAATTCATCAAATTTCGGGCTTCAGGTTCCTGGTCAGATGAGAATTATATTCTAAAAACCCTATGCAGCTGTTTGTAGGTTTCACCAGGGCTCGTATTACATATCATTAAGAGGAAAGAAAAGGTGAAATGCAGAAATGGAATGAGTCTGCATAGGGATTATACAACACATCTGGACACATAGAGGAGACATAATAATTTGGGCTCCTGAGCCTTTGGGTTTTGCTATTATCACCCTTGTACTGAAGACACCCTTGCCTGGCACAATGCAGGTGGCAGGGTGGCTGCTGGAGGAGGTGATGTGGGCAATTGCTGGAGTATGGGGAGGGAAGTGCTTCCTCTTCCAAACAGGCATGGCTTTGTGCTCTCTGGTGCCTTGTCAAGGTCCTCCAGGCACAGGGTGAGATGGCAGCAGTGTAACCATGGCAGTGTTTGTCTCCGGTTTAATGACTCATCCCGGAGCATGTGATCACGTGTGCAGCCTCCCTGCTTCCCTTTGCCCTATTTCATCCAATCTTTTGATCTAGTTATATAACCAGGAGTCAAGAGGGGTGGGGGGAAGGAAACAGTGCTGAAGAATTGCAGGTAATGTGACTAAAATGTGTCTGTAGCTCAAATAGCAGAGTTGTTGTCTGGGAAGCCTGAGAAACTGGGTTTATTCCCAGCACAGTTCTCTGTCTGCAAGTGAGCTGATGCTTGATATCTGAGCTTGTAAATCTAATGAGGCATGGTGGGAGGACAGGGCTCCAAGACCTTGGCTGTGGTAGGAGAACTGCTGTGCTTGTAGCAGTGAACCCCTTTGCCTTTATCTTCATATGCATAACTCTCCTTGCATTCATCATGAGATCTGTTCCATCCTGTAAGCTGTGGACACCTGGTTTGTAAGGCTTGCAGACAGATACTCACAGAAATGTTTGAGCTCCTCTGCTGGTACTGGTCCATGGTGGGCTGAGCTCTGAAGTCCTAAATGTGTTCTGACAAAAACTTGCAGCAAATGCTGGGGTGGGTCTGGATGTCTGGAGAAGAAGTTTGCAAAGTTGGTGCTTTTGAACAAGGTGTGAATCTACTTCTTGTCATCTTAATTTTAAGATGATATGACACCTCTTAAGATGTCTTTAAGATGTGACTTTAAGATGAGATGATACTGGAAAAAAGGTTAATTTAATGGGCATATCAACATGACAGCTGTAGGTGCAATGTGCTGTACTGAAGCATCCTTCATTTAAGCTCCCAGCATTTTGAGAAGGAATGCTGTCTCCAGATCCCTCAGAGTCACAATGTGATGCTTGTTGGATCTGTATTACTTCATCTGCCACATTCCTCTGCACTGATGTCTTCTTTCCTCCAAAGTACTGTCTAAGTGTCATTTCAGTTCAGTCATTAGCTCAGATACACAATGTAAGCAAGAAAGCTGATTACAAGATGAAGTTCAGGGTATCTCTTTGCCTGACACAAGGGGACAAGATGCTTCAAAGAAGCTATTACAACGCTTGTCAGAAACAGTTTGCTTCAAGGGAAACTTTTGAACAGAAACATTTCCTTTCTTTGCTCTGGAAGCATTAGCTTGGTCACCGGCAGCCTGTTGAAGAGCCAAGTGTCACTTAGAACAAGGTGTCATTTCACATTTTAAGAGTGGAATCAGGCACAAATGGAAGTCTGCAAATAGGAGAATGAAGAGGAAAAGGAATGCACATGATTTATAATGTAGAAAGAGTATTGCCACTTAGGTTTTGTTTGACAAAAAGCTTGTTGGAAATTACCATTTAAACCATGAGAGTCAAGTCTGGTGCTAAAACCACTGAACTTTCTGCTGAGCCATTACCCATTACCTGATCCAGATAACCTTTCACATACTGTGTCCTGTTGACCTGGGAGATGGTTACACAGGTGTCATATAGATGGAAATTTCTGCCTTGAATGATGTGAAACAAAGAAAAGGAGATTTAAGTTCCTTGTTTTGATCAGATCTTATCAGGCCCTCATAGAAAAACAGACTCTTGGGACAGGAAGTGCTCTACATGGACCTAAATAATTCTGCCTTTTTTTCTTTTCTGGACACTTTTGGGCTGTCTTGAGGGGTGTTAGTCTTGGCTTTCACTAGGGACAGACCCTTCACTGTAAAACTTTCTAACTCTCTTTGACTTGTCAGAAAGGACCCCAGTTTTGACCCTCAGAGTGAAATGCTTGCAAATGAGTGAGAGCTCAAATCCTGCTGAATGCTCATGGAAAAGCCAGCTGCCAGCCTGGCACAGCTGTTCCCATGGCACGTTCTTCCCCTTGCAGACCAACCCCAGGAAGCCGTGTTCAGCGGTGACCATGCGGAGCACGCGGAGGATGGAGAATGGCAGCGCTCGACTTCAACTACCTCATCTCAGAGCGAGCGGGCAGAGCAACTCTTGCAGAACCAGCACAAGAGCCTGGCCTCTGAGGACACCAAAAAGAAGAGGGCTCAGAAACCGTCTCACATGCGGAGGAACATAAGGTAAGCAGCAGCAGCAGGACAGAGCGAGCTTGGGTCACATATGGTGGTGAAAACAGAATCTCTGCACTTTGCTTCTGAGCTACATTGTGCCACTGCTGGCAAACCAGATGGTTTTTCTTTTCCAAAACCTTAGGATTTCACCAGTGGGAGTAGAGTGATCTCAGACTGGAGTGCTGCATGTGGGTGCAGACTTGTTTGGTATTTCAGAAGAGTGACTATTTGGTTATGGAATATATTGCAAAAATTGTGTAATTGCTCTGTCTTTTGAGAGATGTAATTGAAAAACAGTACCATAAAGTAAATACCAGTTTCAGATATTTGCTGAGGTGAATTCTATTGCAAACAGCCTAAAATACAGTCCTTTCCTATACTGTCCTGGGTACTTGTTGACAGTAATGCTGATGCTTCAGCTAGCAACTGAAATGTTGAAAGTCAGTTTCACCTGGATTTTATAAAGCAGTAATTGTTTGATTGTGTAATTCACCACATATTCTGGGACAAGTTGTGAGCTGGTAAATCACTAAGAAATTTTGCTCAAGGGAATTTTACAAGCTCAGAGGAGAACTAATGGAGCAGGAACTCCTGTGGCAGCAAGTGGCTCTCATGCCCTGTGCTGGTGGTCTTTGGTTCCTGTTTAAGCTTGTGCAGATTGATGTTCTTAAAGCTGAAGGAATAAGCTTTGAATAGACCCTGGAAAATGAGACTTCATTAGGATGAAGGAGATGTCCCTGAAGTGTGGGATTGGGTGGTTTTAAAGACTAGTTTGAATGAGCTGGATTTTACCACTACTGCACCTCTCCTCTGGCAGAAGCACCTTCATTTCCAGAACTGGACATGTGACACTGAAGCAGAGGAAAAGCAACTTCTGGAAGTAAATAAGATTACCTGTAAAGGGAGGGTGCTTTTGGAGAATGCCTCAAAATGATTGTTAAAACCTCAGTGATCCTAGCTCCTGAAAATGCTGTCAAAATAGAATCAGGGTGATGGCTTTTTCTGGGGGAATTGATGCATTTTCTTCCTATATATCTTCTTTGCACGACTTGGTGCATTTTGTGTCTATAAACTGCATATCAATAAAAAACATCCTTTCAGGCAGAAGAACTAGTCTCTGGTAACCTAGTTTAAGTATGTGCTTACCCACTGATATTTTTCCTCCTTTCATTACTTTGCTATGGAAGAAATTAAGTGTAACCAAATCACGTTTGCTCCCGTGTTCAGAAAGCTGTTGCGTGAGGACCAACTGGAAGCCGTGACAAAGGCAGCCCAGCAGGAAGAGTTGGAGAGAAGGAAACGGCTTGAGCAGCAGCGGAAGGATTATCCAGCCTCTATACCAACTGTACCCCTGGAGTTTCTTCCTGGTAAGCACTGGGAGGTGCCAGCCGAAGCAAGAGCTTTCAGGATAGAAGCTGAATGAGGAAGGTAGTGCCATGCTTGTCCGTGATAGGACAAGGGGCAATAGTTTTGACCTAAATGAAGGTAGATACAGGTTAGATACAAGGAAGAAATGGTTTACAATGAGGATGGTGAAACTCTGGAATTTACCACATCTGGTTGTGCAGAGATGTGGTAAATGCCCCATTCCTGGAAACATTCAGGGTTGGATTGGGCTTTAGGCAACCGGATGTAGCTGAAGATGTCCCTGCTCAGTGTAGAGGTGTTGGACTAGATGACCTTTGGAGGGTCTTTCTAACCCCAAACATGTGATTCTATGCTGTGCTTGGACTTTCAAGTGTAAACAGCAGTTCCAAACCACTTGTAGGTTCAGTGTAGGCTGTTGCACTTTTGTGCTTGTTTTGTATCAAGATACAGTGGCCGCTTGATGAACGATGTCAGGTAATGATTGTTGAAGATATTTTGACACATATTAAGTGTGTGTAGGGGGATGTTGAAGCAGAGCTCTCTTGTCTTTCCAGTTGGTATGGGAGCTTAAATCAAAAGGCTTGGCAGAAATGCCAGATCCTGTTTGTCCTGGGAATGGTCTGGTAACAGATGTTTCTGGTAGTGGGGATAGTGGAACAATAGACTGGGTGCACATATGTTGGTGATGTAACCTTGGCCTTCCGTGCATGTTTCAGCAGGCAGTGAGTTGCACACAGTATAAATGGTTAAGCATCACTCATGTCTTTGTGTGAATATGTCACCTTGCATTGTTTCCCAGTCTGGAACATCTTGGTGATTTAGCTTGTAGCACTGCTTCAAAAGGTGTAAAGGGCAGAGAAGTGCAGCTGGATATTGGGCAAGGATAAGGAATTCTTGAGTTGGCCTTGCCTCTTGAGGAGATTTATATTCTCCCTTATGTGCAAGTGTTAAAAACACTTCTACATGTGGGAGAAGGAGTAAGAGCTGTTTAAAACACTTATGCAGGGTAGGTTCAGCCCCAGAAGAATGTTGTTGCTTGCTGTGACACTGCAGTGGTGCTGTTTGACCCCATTCGCCTCTCCCTCAAATGACAGCACTAAAAACATACAAACAAATGCTCTTGATCAGCAAAAGTTGTTTTTCCCCCATGTGTGGGATGTAATTATTACAGTGTCCCTAGTAACAAAGGACAGTTATCATCCCTTCAGCAATTGGTACTTTCTCTTCTGGATGAAACACAGCTTTTACTGAGACCAAAAAAAAGAGAAACAAAGGGCTTTAGCATGCTGCATGGTCAGTGTGCCCCAGTCAGGGCATGAAACAGAGGTTGCCATCAGCAATGGGCTATTGTTTCAGCATATTGAGAATGGAGGAGAGTGTGACCCAGGAAGCTGAGTCATAGCAGGATTGTAGACAGTGAGAGTCTGTTATGGAAAATTCCAGGACTAAGTTATTGGAGCTAAGTGGAAGGAAATACTGTCTGGTTTCTGAACAGTTTTGTCTCCTTCCACATTATTATGAATTACTTATTGTTTGTAATACTTGTTTGTAGAGGACATCGTTTTCAGAACAGCAGAAGCGACCCAGCTCCCCCCTCAGGTCCTGGCTCAGGAAGTGATCTGCCTCGACAGTACCAGCAGTGGCAGTGAAGATGATACTGAAGGAAAAAATAGCATTAAAGATGGTAAGTGACCAATTGCCTCAGCCTGCTCTTCTCACAATATGCTGTTTATTCAGCCACAAGTCTGTTCTCATCTGGTCAGATGCTCCAGTGGTGGATCACTTCAGACTTTTGTAGACCTATTGGTTTCCAATTATATGAGCAGTTCTGGCCTGTGAGTCCTAAAACAACATTTATAAAATGGCCTGTCAGGCCCTCTTTTGAACTTGTGTTTATTCCTGCTTTATAAATGCACCTAACTTTGCTCAGTGTATTGCTGAAGAATGCTTACAGGAGATGTGGCACCATTTGCTGCTTGTAGAAGGAGCATTTAAGTATTCAGATCTGCAGCTGGAAGTGGTTTTTGTGTCCCTTGTCCCAAATGGGTTCAACTGGACTCCTTGCGATCCTTAGGCATTACATCAGTACATAAAATTCATGTCTGGGCTTAGGAATTAAGAAAACATATAGAAGAGAATGTAAAACACTCCTAGAAACCATCTCATGTTCTCTTTGGATCAGCCAAAGTTAATGTTCCCTGAAACATTTGGAAGACAGGGAAGCTGATGCTTTCATATGCTGGTCTGACAGGCCTGGTGTGTGCCTGTATCATGTCTGCTTGTTCAGGATACATCACTGGGCCAGGGTGGAATTGCAAAAGCTGGGGGTAGCCTTATTTCCTGATAGTTTTTTTCCATTCATGATAAAGCCTGATGTCAAGTTAACTTTGTCCTTGTTCTCTCTGGTTTTGGTTACTTTACAGAAGTGATTGAGCTGAGCTCAGGAGAGGATGATGCCCTCCAAATTGTGGACAGCAGTGACTCTGGCAATGAGGGGGAGGAGGATGGCAATGAAGAGAGCAGTGGCTCTCATGTGAATGATGCCTTAAATCAGTCAGATGCTCTGGGGCAAGTCATTGTCAACATCAATCATCCACCAAATGAAGAGGACATTTTCCTGGCTCCCCAGCTTGCACATGCAGTAAAACCTCATCAGGTAGGCTTTGTTAGCCTTGAAAATGCAATGAATTAGGGCAAGCCTGCCTGGAAATCTCAGCAGAACTTCTTTAGTGAGCTCTGTGACCAGTCTGGTTGTGGTGGTAACTGTTGTGGACAGTCAAAATATAAAACTGAATTAGAGGAAGGCCAAGGCTCTGTATAACTTCAACTGTTGTTATTATCAGACCTTTATACATTTAGATGAACTTTTAAAAAAAGAAATTATATTTATAAACAAACTAATCAACCCTAATTAAGATCCTCTGGCTACAAATTAATTTTTATTTTTTTGACATATTCTCAAGAAATTCTATGAGCATCTAAAAACACTGAGTTCCTGAGCCTTCCCTAGATTAGAGTACTCTAGTGAACTTGAAACATCCCCTTTACGTTTTCATGGTCCTCATGTACTTGCCACTCTGTAAATACATACCCATCTTGGGCTTTTTTTGTGTGCCATCATTTTAAAACTTCTTCTACTTTTCTGCCTAGATTGGTGGGATCCGATTCCTATATGACAACTTGGTCGAGTCCTTGGAGAGATTTAAAACCAGCAGTGGGTTTGGGTGTATTTTAGCACATAGCATGGGCCTGGGCAAGACCATACAGGTCATCTCTTTCTTGGATGTACTTTTTCGGCACACGGAGGCAAAGACTGTTCTTGCCATTGTACCTGTAAGTAGCCACACGAAGGGCTGGCTGAGGGGCTTCCTTACACTACTTCTTTCTTTGCATCAAGAAGGTTGATTAGTGTCCCATCACTCATCAAGCTCTATCACATCCTTGCTGCTTTTCCCCCTCTGTCATTCCCTGTGTTCCTGAATTTGCATGCTGTGAGCTGCTGCTTCCATCTGGGCACATTGGGTGTCATTCCCTCGTTTTTGCTCTTAAAAATCCCAAGTGACTCAGATGGGTTTTTAATCCTTCTGTGGCTAACTTTTTCAGGTGAATACTCTCCAAAACTGGCTAGCAGAGTTCAATATGTGGCTCCCAGCACCTGAAAACCTTCCTGCTGATTATAACTCCAAAGAAGTCCAGCCCCGCACCTTCAAAGTCCACATCCTGAATGATGAACACAAGTAGGTGACAGTAAAAGCTTTTCTGAGCTCTTGGCTCAGGGACCTCTGCTTCTTTCGGGGTCATTTTCCTTGCATGGATCAGGGCAGTGCAGTGATCCTGGGAAATTCTCAGTTCATTGTCTGTGTCTATACACCTACCTGTTGGTGTCTTCACCTTCTGGGTGGGATATATTTGAATCTGCTGATGCTGCTGCAGCCATATATTTGCTGTTGGCCAGGATCTGATGTACTGGGGTGGACTGAGAGGAGATAGTTTCTTGATCTGATCCAATTCTGAGCAGGCTGGAAGGGAAGAAAGTCTGGGGGACAGGAGCATTGAAGGAGACAACAGGGGAAAAACAACTCAAAGATTACAACCATGTGCATTGGCAGCTTGTTCTGAAAACGGTTTTTGCAGAGGCAAACTCAACAACTCTATAAAAAGGGAACTCTTGAGTTTGGTATGCTCTTGTGCATGATAAACTTGTACCCCTCAGTTCCTGTAGGGATTTGTCATTCTCAGTCCTGCTATCCATGGCACATAAAAGGCTTTTTTCCCCCCACTCTGTATCTGTTTGTTTCCTAAAGAAATTTCATTGTAAACCTCCATCTGGTTTGATGTGAGAAAAGCGCTTTAGTTAATTGAATGGGTATTTTTTCTCAGCAGTCTCCAATCCAGTGATTCAACCTGCAGTTGGAGTAAAGCTTAAAGTTTATTTGGTTGTTTTGCAGGACAACAGCTGCACGTGCAAAGGTGGTGAATGACTGGGTGACAGAAGGTGGTGTGCTGCTGATGGGATATGAGATGTACCGTCTCCTCTCATTGAAGAAGTCCTTTGCCACTGGCAGGAAGAAAAGAACAAAGAAACAAACTGGCCCTGTCATTATTGACTTGGATGAGGAAGACCGGCAGCAGGAGCTTCTGAAAGGTGGGAAGTCAGCCCTCAAGAGGGAGAATGTGACCCTGCTGTCCAGTTGGCTGTCAGCACAAGGGAAACAACCTGTAACTTGCTTTTAGTGTCACTAACATGATAGAACTTTGCTGGGCAGGATTGTGTCTTTGGAGGCAGAAGGTTGTTGAGTTCTGATTTGATGCAGGACACCCAACTTGATGCAATGCAGGTCATTGAACAGAAATCAAGGGACAGTCATGTTTGCTCATTACCACATCTTGCTAAATCAGAACTAGTGTCTAGTCATATGTTATCTCCTGCATCAGCCTTGCTCTCTGCACCCATGGATGCCACTTTTTTTTCTTTCAGAAATACCCCTCTTTTGTGAAGCTGGTGACCTTATAAAACCAGAACTTTGTTTTGTTAATCTCTAACTAACACTTAATGTCCCTCATCCTCAGGGATTGAGAAGGCTTTGTCTCGCCCGGGCCCAGATGTGGTGATTTGTGACGAAGGACACCGCATAAAGAACTGCCATGCCAGCACTTCCCAGGCGCTGAAGAACATCCGCTCACGCCGGCGGGTGGTGCTGACAGGGTACCCGCTCCAGAACAACCTCATCGAGTACTGGTGCATGGTGGACTTTGTCCGGCCTGACTTCCTGGGCTCGCGGCAGGAGTTCAGCAACATGTTTGAGCGGCCCATCCTGAACGGGCAGTGCATTGACAGCACCCCCCAGGACGTGCGGCTGATGCGCTACCGCAGCCACGTCCTGCACAGCCTGCTGGAGGGCTTCGTGCAGCGGTGAGTCCACGGGGACTTCTCAGGGGTGTAGTCCATGCAAACAGCTCCTTCATCACAAGTTACCTGGCTTGTTTGCTGAGTTGATGCAGTACAACTGAATCTTGCTGCCTTACAGAATCATGGAATCGTTAAGGTTGGAAAAGAACTGTAGGATCATCAAGTCCAACTGTTAACCCAGCACAGCCACCCCTAAAGCTTGTGCCACATCTATGAGTCTTTTAAATCCCTCCAGGCCTGGTGACTCCACCGCTTTCCTGAATTGTCTGTTCCAATGTCTGACCACCCTTTCCATTAAGGAATTTTTTCTAATATCCAATCTAAACCGCCCTGGCACAATATGAGGCTGTTTTCTCTTGTCCTGTTACTGTTACCTGGGACAAGAGACTGTTCCCTACCTGGATATAACCTACTTTTAGAAAGTTTTGGAGAGAGAGAGAGAGAGGTCCCCCCAAAGCCTCCTTTTCTGCAGGCTGAGCCCCCTCAGCTGTTCCTCTTCAGGCTTGTGCTCCAGACCCTTCCCCATCTCTGTTGCCTGAATCTGGATACGCTCCAGCACCTCACTATCTTGTAGTGAGGGGCCCAAAACTGAACCCAGGATTCAAGGCAGGGCCTCACCTGTGCTGAGTTCAGGGGGAGGTTCACTCCCCTGGCCCTGCTGGCCACACTGAAGTTGGTTTGCTTTGGTACCACAGACTCTGATAATGGAGAACTACACCTCTAACTGCCCCAGAGTGACCTCAGGTTTATTTTCATGGCTTAATAGCCAATTTGGATGTGCACTTTGTGATATTCTTATCCAGTGATCTGAAAGTGTTACATGAAACAAATCACTTTTTTTTTCTCAGATGAGGTTTCTAAGATGCTGGTCTGGAGCGTCTTAATCTTTGGCAGAGCTGAAAATAGACTTTACGTCTTATTTCTATTTTGCAGCTACCATGGAAAACAGGACTTTCATCACCCTGTTAACTCTGTGACCTGTGCTACAGGGTTGTAATGTTTGAGAGCTTTATAATTGTGTTTACAATTGGTATTTGGCTGCAGGGAGAGTATCTCAGAAGTGACATGCATTAGAGAAACATGCAATTTTGAGGTCCTTCTCCCTGCAGCTGGGTGGGCAAGAAGTCAAAATCTTATCCTACAGGCAGCCACAGGGAGATCATATTGAGAAATTCCCTTCCCTGTATTTATCTCACTCTTTTTATTTCCTCCACAGGCGAGGCCACAACGTGCTGAAGGTTCAGCTCCCATCTAAGGAAGAACACGTCATTCTGGTACGTCTGTCCAAGATCCAGCGGGCCCTTTACACGGAGTTCATGAACCGGTTCCGAGATGCAGGCAACAGTGGCTGGCTGGGGCTGAACCCACTCAAAGCTTTCTGTGTCTGCTGTAAGGTAGGTTTTGGCAGAAGATGCAAAAAAAGATTCTAATATATTTGGGACAAGGGAATATGAATCAAAAGAGGAGGTGAAAGTGTGGTTGGCCACCGTCTCTCCCCAAAGTGCTCTGCAGTGGTTCAACAGTGTTGTTATCTTTGCTTCCAGAACTGAGGTACAGGGATGTTAAATGTCTCTTTCACATAGTGCAAGAAACCTGCTACCATCAGCTGAAACAGTCTGGGCTGATACCTGAAACTGCATAGCCATACCTGCTTAGTGCAAACACGCAGCTTCCTCTGCCTTAATGCTGTATGAAGTTCACAGTGACCTCCTGGTTTGTTCTCAAGGAAAGAATTGGGCACTTATAAAAATAAGAGAGCCAGAAGAAGTATTAGTTCTTCCCTTTGAATAGCTGTGGGGGCTTTCAGGTCACAGTCATTGGCAAGCAGCAGACCAGTGCAGGTCTAATCTTTCTTTCTTTATCCCTTCAGATCTGGAACCATCCAGATGTGTTGTATGAAGCTCTGCAAAAGGAGAATCTGGCAAATGATCAGGATTTGGATGTGGATGACCTTGGCACAGCAAGCACTAATTCCCGCTGCCAGCCTCAGGGAATTAAAGTCAAAACAGAGAGTAATGCTTTGGCATCACCAGTTGGAGAAGCTACTAATAGCAAGTTCCTGCAGAGTGTTGGCTTCAACCCTTTTCAGGAGAGAGCGAATCAGGTCGTAACTTACGAGTGGGTGAGTGTCACTGCTGGAAAACTCTTTATTTGGAGAGTCTGAAAGACTGGACAGTTTTCTGAAGCAGAGTAGACTCCTCTGAGTTATGGGTTTCTCTTATGTTCTCTTTACCACAGAGCATCTTGATAAGCAGATCTGCATGGTGCTAGGAGAGGTTTGTGACTGTCATGAGGTAGAATTGTAGGCAGCACTCTTATGTCTTTGTTCTTACCTGACCAAAAACACCGTGGACTTCGTTATCCTAAATAAAGGTGTTAGGATGAAGTTTGATCTAAATAAGATGGTGGTAAATCTGTAAGGATGGAGGAAAGCTCTTTGAGATAAAAGAGTCATGAGAGGTTAAGGGAACACTCTTTGTGTTTGTCATTTGGAGCTTCTGGAATGGGAAGTAGCAGCAGTAGTTGGGAGTAACATTATCCCTTCAAACAACTGGATGTAAATAACCTCGTTGCCATGATTTATTTCTCTCACCTTGAGACAGGGTTATTGAACTAAAAAAGGGAATGAGCAACTCCACCTGTAATAGTCTCCTGTTTCTCGGTAGGCCAAAGACATCTTGTGTGATTACCAGACGGGAGTCCTGGAGAACTCACCCAAGATGGTGTTACTTTTCCACCTAATTGAGGAAAGTGTGAAGCTTGGAGACAAGATCTTGGTCTTCAGGTAAGCAGAGTATCACCAACTGATCCTACAGTCAATAAATACTGGAGCAGTTGGATCCCTCCTGGTACTAGGAGGTTTTTACAATGGTGTGGCAGTTCCCCTTTTCTCCTTTGTTGTATTAATGTGGATTTTCATCTGTGGATTATATACTTGTGCCGCTGTCACATTTACTAGTGAGGGGTGTGCTGCACAAACAGGGTTTAACAACCATCAGCACTGTCACAGTTGGGGAAGGCTTCTGATACTCCACTTCTGCTGCGGGGGGCGTTTTTCTGAACAGAGATCTTGGTTTTGCAGCCAGAGCTTGTCCACCCTATCTGTCATTGAAGAGTTTTTGGCAAAGAGACCAATGCCGAGTCCTCCAGACTCAGATGGAGGAGTTCATAACTGGGTCCGAAACATCAACTACTACAGTGAGTGCATCCAATCCTCCTCTCTTTTGTTGTGACACTGATTGTTTGAAGGACTAATTCCTGAAAATTGCCCACCATCTTCTTTTAGTTGTCTTTGGGTGTGAAAATGCTCTTCTGAAGCATTCTTCTGATGAACATCTTTCAGACTGTTCTTACTTTAATTGTTTTGGAAGATAATGTCAGTTGGATAGCAGCTAAGCAGTAATTTCAAATCCTCTTTTGACATCTTACTTAGAAGATGTTAGACATCTTTGACATCTCACTAACACACTACTGCTTTTTTAAAGTTGCAAAAGATACTTTTTGCTTCCTGTTGGCTATTTGCTACATCTTGCTTCCAAAACCAGAATCACTGTGGAATGCTTTCACTTGCTCAAGGCTGTGAAATCCTCTCCCCTCTTCCCCAGCTTTAAATCTTTCTCTAGTATGGGTTGTTGCTTTGTGTGGCTACTTTGGAGGCCAAGACTGAGAAGAGTGGTGGATGTAGTGTTCCTGATTTTTGCAGAGCTGCCAGAAGCAAGCTGCTGCCCAGGAGCAGAGACGTGACACCCCCTGCACTCCTTTACACCAGCATTCTCTGTGCTCAGGTCTAGTTTCTGGGGGTTTGCCAAAGGCAGTACAATTTTGCTTTCTCTTGATTCCTGGAACTTCCTGCATACATGAGGCCTTTGTTCCTGTTCGCTATCCACCTTGGCCAAAGCAGAGCCTTAAAGGGCAAGATGTGTTGTAGTGCTCCCAGGCCTGGCCTTGACAAGCTTGAGTACTATTTACTTAATGTAACTGAAAGATTTGATCTTTCAGTTGAGCAAGTCCCATCCTGGCTGGCTGCATTGCACCTGCCTTTTTGGGCATATTACAGGTACAGAGTGGTCCAGTTGAGATCCTGGAGTACATGAATTGGTTTGGAACCAGTTTCAAAGCTCAGTGTTTGGGAAGTGGGTTTGTTCCAATAGAAATCCCCCAAACATACAGAGCTTTTACATGTATCTTTAATTCCCTTCTCAGGACTGGATGGCAGCACCTCTGCCTCGGAAAGGGAACGGCTGATTAACCAGTTCAATGATCCCAGCAATGCCTCTGTTTGGCTCTTCCTTTTGTCCACACGGTGAGTTGGCTGGAGCAGGAGGGCACAGGGGAGGACTCATCCTGACGTTCTGGATGCATGTGGGTTTTCAGTTCTTAACTTCCCTTGTAATGTGCTCTCCATGGTATGATAGTGCTATCTGCTTCTGAATTCCCTAGAGATGTAGGATTTCAGCCTTAGGCCTCTGCAACAGCTTAACAGTCTTGGAAACCGAGCTTGGGTTTAAAGTTTGACTGGAGGAAACATTCCATAGACTCTCTGTGGACTCTTGACTGTGTTGGTTATCCCTGCCTAGAAGTTTTAAAAATTGACCAGGGCAGCAGTTTAAAATTTGCCTTAATTTTCCAGTGCTGGGTGTTTGGGTGTCAACCTCATTGGAGCAAACAGAGTGGTGGTGTTTGATGCTTCCTGGAACCCGTGCCACGACGCCCAGGCCGTGTGCCGGGTGTACCGCTACGGGCAGAAGAAGCCGTGCCACATCTACAGACTGGTTTCTGATTACACCCTGGAGAAGAAGATCTATGACCGTCAGATCTCCAAGCAGGGCATGTCAGGTAAGTGTGGATGAGCACAATGTTCCACTCAGCTTTCACTCCTCTTAGCTCCTGGAAGTCCTGTTTCTGTGGGTTTTGTAACTTCTTTTCTAGAGGTTGAAGAGCAGACAAAGGGGTGGTAGCACTTTGTCCAGGGCTGTGTTTGATGTTTGAGTTGGCAGTGACATGGAATCCCATAAGAAATTCATGCTGGTAGAGCCAGCATCCTGCAGCAAGGTTGTGGTCCCAGTTCACTGCTGTGCCATTTACTTTCTCTGCTCCTCTTCTGGCTTCTGCAACAGACTGGAGACTTGGGGAGTGCTCATCCTGTTTTCCCCTCTGCCTGGATATTGCTCATCTTAAGCTGGATATTACTACTAAAATAACTATCTTCATTTTTCCTGCTGTAAGAGAGGGAAAATAGCTAAATTAAAACATATATTAATACTTTTGACTGATAGTGCTTGCCAAGAATAATTCATTGTGGTTCTGACCTGCCTTTGTAACAAAAATATCTTTTGTGCTGGCTTGTGCCTGTTGTCAAGCTGCTCTCATAGAATCTGCAGCTGAGGGTTGTGGTGACCCAAAGGGAGCACTGTCTCCTTCTTTGCTCAAAACTCCAGAGGCAGCAGCCCAGCATGATCAGCTCAGTTTGCTGTTGTGCACTTGAGGTGGAGTCTCCTGGCAGCTGGCCTGGCTCCCAGGAGAGTCCTGGATAGGTGTTTTCTCCTTGTGCTCCCATTTGACCTGTGTGCAGGAGGGACTGTTCTAGGAAAACATTCAAGCTCTTGTGAGTGAGGGAATGTGGCTGCTTTTCTGACCTTTCCACTTTAGTACGTAGTTATTAATTTGAGCCTTTTTAGTGGGACTTGTGGGAGAGCACATACTGATGTGGCTGTCCCGGGATGTGTATGTTTACAGCCTTGTTACATGAGGTGGGACACTACCCATAATTAGTTTTGTGTTCCCGTTTGCCAGGAGCTTGGTGACCTGCACAGCTTTGCTGTGCAGTCAGGAGCACAGGCACTTGTCAGCCTGATTTGGTCAAACAGGCTGAGCTCTGAACATGATGATTTTTCTCCTTGCCCTGACATTCACAGAATACTTCTGAGGACTCTGTAGATTGCAAGGAGGGAGCTGTACTAGGACAGAAGAATAGGAAGGGCAACAGGCAAGCAGTGCTGATCTCTTCCCTAGTCTGCTCACTCCATTCTCTCTCTTTTCCAGATCGGGTGGTGGATGATCTGAACCCAGTGCTGAATTTCACTCGACGGGAGGTGGAGAACCTGCTGCATTTTGTGGAAGAAGAATCTGACCCTGCTCAGCTCTCCCTCAATCCAAGCAAGATGAAGGAGTCTGTTCTACAATTAGCCTGTCTCAAGTATCCTCACCTCATCACCAAGGTAAGACCAGCCTGTTTCTTTGCTGGCACTGCTCAGGCAGGAGTGGGCCTGGAGGAGTCTGGCAGTGTGATGGGGACATGATGGCAAGCAGAATGCACCTAGGTACTGGTGGGAATAGGCAGACAACTCTCTAGAGAGGACCCAAAGATCCCTGCCCTTCCCTGTGATATTTTCCACTTATCTAGAAGCACCCCTGTCCTGTACAGGTTTGGAGGTAGTTGTCAGGCACTCCTTTCTTCAACTTGGTGCTGGGCATGAAGGTGGCAGTGGAATATCCCAGCTTGCTGCCAGCTCTTTTCCTGGGGTGACTTTAAGCCAAAGCTGGGACAGACAGCACTGGCCTGTGCTGTCAGGAGTGTCACTGGTGGGGTGCTGCTGCAGAGTGCACCTGTGCCAGGTGCTGTGGGGCTCTGGGGGCTGTGTGACATCGTGGTGGGCTCCATGCTTGCGCTCATGGTCTGGCCAAAGCTCCTGGGTTTTGCTTGTGTTAAGTGATGGCCTTGGCTGGGCAGGTGGTGGCATTAGCCGACTGTCACCCTTCAAGATGAGCCTTGGTCACATCCACAACAGTGCCTCCCACACGTGCTTTGCTACAGGCAGCTCTGCCAGCCTGGGAAGGAGACAGGCTGCTGCAGGGAGCAGGCGGCTGCCTTTTGGGGTGTGCTGGTTCCCTCTTGCGGTGTGTGGGTGCCAGAACGGCGGTGCTGTGGGGTTGCAGGAGCCTTTTCAGCATGAGTCACTGCTGATCGACCGGAAGGAGCACAAACTGACCAAGGCAGAGAAAAAAGCAGCCAAGAAGAGCTATGAGGAGGAAAAGCGAGCATCCGTCCCCTACACCCGGCCGTCCTACGCACAGTATTACCCAGCCAGTGACCAGAGTCTGACAAGCATCCCTGCCTTTAGCCAGAGGAACTGGTGAGCACCTGCCCCTTCCCTTCTCCTCATGTTGTAGACATTAAATGAGGGGGCAGAGGATGCTTATCACTCTGGGGTGGGTGCTGCATTCTCCTCCCACCTCTCTCACTAGGCGACCAGCCCTCAAGGGTGAGGACAAACCAGTGGCAAGCGTCCGCCCAGTTCAGTCCACCCCCATTCCAATGATGCCCCGGCATGTCCCCATGGGCAGTGCAGGATCAACCTCAAGTTCCAACCCTGCTGTCAACTTTCCCATCAACTATCTACAGCGAGCTGGTGTCTTTGTGCAGAAGATTGTTACCACCACGGGTGAGTTGCTACTGCTCAAAGTGAGTTGGGTCATGATGCCCATGGTAAATTGAGGATGCCCATCATGAACTGAGGATCAGGGTGAGTTGTTGATGTCCATGTGGGCTGTGGGCAGATGGGCATCAGAAGCAAAGATAAGGTCTCTCTGTATTTGAATGGTTCCTCTGTGCCTGGAGGACTTTCCCTGCAGGTATACAAGAGCCACGGACCTGGTGGATTGTTGGGAGTGAACTTTCCCTGCTGGGACCTGCAATATTGTTGCAGGTGGTTCTGGAGATGCTGTGCCAGGACAGAATGGCTTTTGCTCCCTTGGAGCCTCTGCTGCCTTATTGGGTTGTGTAGAAATGAACCCAGGGCTTGCTTATAGCATGGCATATAAAGTATATAGGAAAGACAATTACACTGCAAAAAAAGGAGTTGGTGGTGCACCTGTCCTCTCCTAAGTGTGTCTGGCATGTAGTTTAATGGACACTATTCTGTTTCTTTCCCCACTGACAGATATTGTGATTCCGGGTACAAACACATCCACTGATGTACAAGCAAGAATCAGTGCTGGCGAGAGCATCCACATCATTCGAGGGACAAAAGGTAATTCTGTTCTGCTAAGACTTGTGGATGGGGTCCTGGACAGTGCTAATTAGAAAAGAAAATTATGTAAAGGCTTGAATCAATCCCTTGAGAAAAAAAGAAACAAGAAGGGAAGGAGGTCTAGAGTTTGCAGTGACTTTTGCAGCCCGTGATCTGGGTGTGCTGATGCTGCATGACTGTTGCAGCTGTGGCTGCTCCTGTCCCTGAGAGGAGCTGTTGAACTTCGTGGCTCAGTTCTTTCTTCTTAAAATACTCACTGCAAGTCCTGAGGCCACCAAACACTCCCTGGTTCCCCCAGAGTAAAGTGTTTCAAGTGTGAAGTTCCACATTACCCACTGGCACACTGAGGGGGCGTGATCTCCAGTCCAGGAAAGCTGAAGGGGTAAAAGTGAAGGGTGAGGAAGGGGAGAGCCCTTCCACTGGGCCTGTGCAGCACTGCTGTCCTATTCTTGCCCAAGGAACCTTGCAGGCTCGTAGATCTAGGTCCTGAGCCGAGACTGGAGTTGTAATGAAGTTGTTGAAGTTGTCCTGCCTCTGTTCCAGGGACGTACATCCGGACCAGCGACGGTCGGATTTTTGCCATACGGACCACTGGGAAGCCAAAGGGCAATGAAGACCGTCGGACAGCTGCCTCAGGTAGGGGCCTGTGGGTGCTGTGTGGGCCTTGCACATGTGCTTTCCTACTGGAGTGTCTGGGGCAGTGTTCTCTGGTGTATTCCATCATGTCTGTGTTTAGAGATGTCCCTGCCATATCCCCAAGATACTCCCACCTTCCTTTCCACCTCTTGGCCTGCGGATGTTTCTCTGAGGTCGTATTTCTCACCTGCCCTTAACTCCTTGTTTGCAGGCTCCCAGAGCTCTCCCCTGGAGTCCACGAGCAATGGCAGACACAGTGCCTCATCCCCGCAGCTCCCCAGCGCCGAGGAGCTCACTCGGCCCATCTCCCCCGACAGCCCCGAGATCATCAGCGAGCTGCAGCAGTACGCGGAGGCGGCGGCCGCGCGCGAGTCCCGCCACAGCTCTCCCAGCACCACCGCGGCGCAGGGCCTCGCCGCCCGCACG